TATGATTTATTAAAAGGATCATAAAATGACCAAACAGAAGTTCAACATTAAAATGAAGTTCAAAATAGATTTTAAAATGATTTTGAAATGATAATAGAAGTTAGACAAATGAATAAAAATTCAATGATACAACTATAAATGTTATTAAAAGGATCATATGACTCAACATAAATGAAGTTAAAAAAAAAAAAAAAAAAAAAAAAAATTGAGTACGACTGGCGATGGGACAGATCGAAACTAAGACCAACTTGATCTTGCTCAAAGAAATACAAATATAATATGATTTCATCAGTTAGAAATTTGAATATTAACATTGCTCTTCATTGGCCGTGGGGAAGCTATTCCTCCTGGTCCCAGCCTTAATAAAATATTTTTGTTTCTCACACACAGACACGCGCATCTATACACGCACACGGGGTAAGGGAAGTAGAAAGAGAGAGAAAGTACTTATTATTTCATATATATATATATATATATATATATATATATATATATATATATATATATATATTAATGATTCCATTATTATTATTATTCCTTTCTGTCTTCTTCCAACGGCGTTATCACAAAATCAGTTTAATGTCTTCTTCTTATCTTCTTGGAAGGTTATGGCCAGAGAAGAACCTCAAGGAAAGATAAAAGATGCGTATGACATCAGATTACTGAAATTTGATACCGAACACCAGGCGACATTTTATGCAAACTTAGTCACGAAACTCCAGAACAGTATCAGTCGTGATCCCAACAATCGGACTCCACCACTGGCTAGTTAACATAGATGAATGTTCATTATGTGTGTTTATATTATTATAAACTCTAAAAACTTGAAATACCTCGGTGAATAGATCAGACAAATGTAGTACAGGAGATAAGGATAGTTTGCGGTAAAGGGAGGTTTGTCCAGTTTTTCTGACAAAAGCAAAATATTAAGCAAAGAACTCGTGTCCTGTTCTCAAATAACTTCGTCATATCGCAATATTCATAATGGTGTCATGCATGGCGTCCAACTTGTTTAGAAATGTCTACACTATTAGCTGTCTAGAAAAGTTTTTCTCGGACCAATCATTAGAAATGTTTTGAAGCAAATGAACTGGGTAGGTCAAAAAAATAAAAAAAATAAAATAAAAATAAAAATAAACTTCACTCGATTTCAGAGATTGACGCTACAGAATCACAAACAAAGAACTTTACCAAAAAAAAAAAAAAATCCTCATCATTTGAAGTATTCCGACAAATAATAAGAATCCATCTGTTACTAGAAGGGGAAATATTGATATCATCATGATATTGACTTTCCACACAACCTTAAGCAAAAGGTTAGGAAGGCAACTCCCATCAGCGCTAGAACGATCGATAACAGTAACGAAACTGAGAAGCTTATTTTCCTGAAAAATTCTTTTAGAAGAAAGATTTTATAAATTTCAACCGACAGAATATTTTCCTATATGGAAACATCTATTCTTGCCTTCAGAATTACCATATTAAAATAAAAATCCTTTTATTCAACACAGCTTTTGTCCATTGACATTTTCTTACCATTGGTGTTAAGTCATAATCCCCACCCCCAAAAAAAAACACCCAGATAAGATAAACTTTTATTTTTGCAGGGGATATAATTAGAAAAATGCCGATATATGTTCATCAAAAGAAATTCTTATCTGATTTTCGATGTCAAGTTACAACAAATGATGTCCTTTAAGTGCAAACAGTTCATTTTGAAGTGTAAGTAGAATTCGGGTCGCGTTGAAGTCGTTTAAACATATTAAAAATTTGAAAAATATTAATGATGGGAAACATATTAGCTTAAAATAACTTCATACGTAATATAAAAATCGGTTGCTTATTTGACATTTAGGGAATCTGAAAAATCTGTTTACAGGAATAAAAAAATCATATCCGACTAAAATCTAATAAACAATTAGTAACTAATCAAAATATCAAGTCTACACATATAAACCGCAAACCCCTACACACACACACACACACACACACACACACACACATATATATATATATATATATATATATATATATATATATATATATATATATATATATATATATATAGTCTGTCTGTGGATGACAATATATATGTTCCTGAAAAATTTATTTCGGTTGAGCTCTCAGGGGAGGAAGTGTGGGTTTGTAAACAGTGACTATTACGGCTAATAATGCAAGACTCTTCGGTAAATCGAATCGAGTTCTCTCAGTCACTGTGTATTTATTTAAAAATAAATACGCTTAAATTCACCTGCCATGCGCCAATGGCTTAGTGATAGAATCCCCGACTGACTTGTATTGAACACTGTTGCCATATATGGTTTGGTGATCCCGATGATGTTCATCTCGAGGTCCTCAACAAAACACAGAGATATGCACGGATATGCAATGTTATAGGTCCTGACCTGGCAAGTCGTCTACAATCACTTTCTCACAGACGTGCTGCGGTTTCCCTTTTCTCTTTTCTATATACCTCAACTGCATGAATTTGAGCGTGCTACTATGTTGGCATCTCAATCCCACCTTTTCACTGTGAAACTATTAAATGTAACCACCTCTTCTACTCCAACAGCTTCTTTTCTCGCACTTCCCGACAGTGGAACCCCTTTCCTCCTACTTGCTTCCCTGATAATCTTCAAATATTCAAATGTAATATCAATCGACATCTTCGGATGCCTTGATCCTGATCCCCGTCCTTCTCTATATCCTTTTTCTCAAACACCCCCTCTTTACTTTTGCGCTCACACTCTGTAACCTTTTGTGTTCTAGTGGCTCTCCTGCCTTGCTTGGGGTGAAATGCTTAAAACATGTTTATATATAGTGATTTAAAACACTTATAATTAGAAAGAGCTAATTAATTTAAAAATGTTCAGTAAAAGTGCCAAATACTGTTTAGAGCTTAAAAAAACCTTAAACATTGTGCCATCCAATGTTTTTTTATAACCGAGTATTATTATTAGTATAATACATACATACATACATAAATACATACATACATACATACATATATATATATATATATATATATATATATATATATATATATATATATATATATATATATATATATATACTTCTGAGATGAGGTATTATGTACATCTATTCGGACTATTGTCCTCATCTTTGTCGCCATATTTATAACAACGTTTCGGCCGTTGTACGCTCCGTCCTTCTTCAGTTGGTTGGATTGTCGAACTGAACCCTTTATTTCGCTTGCTGAAGTAGACTGTTCTAGTTCCACGTGCCATGTTTAATGGGTGTCAGTTATCAGTTTTCACCTGTTAATTCCACCTTTATCCACTGTGCCATGTGTCCTTGAGGACACATGGCACAGTGGATAAAGGCGTTGGTTAGATCCAGTGACAGGACCCAAAGAGTGTGAGTTCAATACCCGGCTAAGGCAGTGGAGAACTTTCAGAGGGAAATTAACAGGAGATAACTAATATCTGACATCCATCTAACATGGTTCGTGGAACTAGAACAGTCTAACCCAGTGAGCGAAATAAAGCGTTCAGTTCGACATTTCAACCACCTGAAGAAGGCCGGAGCGTACAACGGCCGAGACGTTGTAATAAATATGACGATAAAGATGCGGAAAATAGTCCGAATAATATATATATATATATATATGAATATGGTATATTTAGGTAGCAAGTATTTGTACAAACAATGTTGATGAAGAAGAACCGCCAAAATTGTTAAATTTTTAATTTTATTTTCCCAATTTTCGAATAAGATACTGTGTCATTGCGATTGAAATTGTAAATAAACTATCCGAAGTTCATTGCTTTTTCTTCAAGTAATTTCAAAGTTTCAGTCATTTTTCTGAACCAATGAAGTATCTGTCTGATAAGCAGAATTCCTTTGTCTACATATTGGTATTTTAGGTGGAAAGCAGAAAGTTTGAAATAGTCAATAGTGATGTCATGTGTAACGGTTACTGGGAGCGATGCTGAACCAAAAATTTTCAAAGTTTGCTTCTTAAAAATGACTGAGACGATATAAAGTAGTTGAAAACAATAACGACGAAACTTCGACCAGTTTAGCCACAGTTTTGATCACACGACACAACACTTTATTCGAAAAGTTGAAAAATACAATAAAAAACATTAAATGGACCTTGTCACTTATTTAAAATCAAACTTATATATATATATATATATATATATATATAGGGTGCAATCGATCAGTTGTCGTCTCAATGACAAAAATGAAAATAAAACTGACATCTCATTTTAACAGATATATTTTCCAACATTACACAAAAATATATTGAAATAAAAAAGAGAAAATTTATTCAATTGCCATTAGCTCCAACCACAGCTTCCAGACAACTTCAGAATCTCCTGCAACTCTTCTGGACGGTCTCATTGTGTAAGTTGGTGAAGGCTGCCATAATCAGTTCATCTTTGGTGTTTAACTATCCATCCCAATTACCGTTCTGACATCGTTAAGAGATGACTGAGTTTTCGTCTTATCCTTTTTGCGTTCGATATGCCCCGTGTGTATCAAATTTTCCAAGCCTTCTTTCTTCATCATGTGTACCAGAAATTTCAAACCACCAGCTTTGAGCAAGTTTTACAAACCCAATAAAATGGAAACCAACGAAATACAATTAAAGATGATCTTTTTGAATGACATTAGTTCAAACTAAACACCCATAATGCGATCCAACATGGAGAACTAACATTTTTACAAGCCAAATAATTATAAAAAGTGGATAGATAGTTTTGGAAAAAAACTGGAAAATTAAATTATACATCCGAGGAAGGCCGAAGAACGCATCATCCAAAATATAGTGGTAAAACTAATGAAAATAGGAGTACTTGCCAAAAATTCTCCTGGGTTACAATCTCACACAGTTCTAAATATAGACGAGGAGGGAGAGGGATAAACAGACTATGATTTGCAAGTACTGCAGATTTTAGAAGGTGGTGTAATAATCTTGTTGCGACAATTTTCCAGTTCGGAAAATATGTAAATATTGTCGTTTATATCAGAAGCCTGTGCCATAGGAGCTGTTATTTTGCAACTTAAAGCATCTATCTATCTATCTATCTATCTATCTATCTATCTATCTATCTATCTATCTATCTATCTATCTATCTATCTTCAAATCTATCTATCTATCTATCTATGTTATTTGATATGTTCAAGTGCTTCCGAGTTGCTTTTTGAGATCGGAAATGTCGAGAATATTATAGATGGAGGTGCAGCCATTGAAGAAAGGCGGGAAAAAATCACGAAAGGAGTGTGAAACCGGAAAGACGGGTAGGGAAGAATCAAAAAGAATCCTTAAGTAGAATCAAGAGGTTCCAGTCAAATTGAACGTGGGAAATTTCTTCGGATATAACCTATTGCCGAACGTCATGTAGAGAACAGAATCTCTCTATCATACTTACTTACTTTCTTTCTTTCTTTCTTTCTTTCTTTCTTTCTTTCTTTCTTTCTTTCTATTTTAGTCTCTTCATATCTATCTATCTATCTATCTATCTATCTATCTATCTATCTGTCTTAGTCTGTCCATTCCTATCTATCAATGTATGTATCTGAGTTCGCTCGAAACAGTCTATCTCAGTCTGTTCATATGTATCTCTCTATAGATTTATCAATCAATCTAGCTCTTTTTCTATCTATCTATCTATCTATCTATCTATCTATCTATCTATCTATCTATCTATCTATCTAAATCTTTTCATATCTATCACAATCAATCAATATCTATATGGTCTATCTAAGCTGTTTTGTATTTCTCTTTAGTGGTAGAATTCGGTTTCAATCTCATATAAACACACTTTCAAATACTGATTTTCAAGGTGGACTAAAATGTCTAACGAAATGTCTCCCTACCTATGTAATTAGTCATATAAGAATAATTCTAAAACCTTTCAAATTAGCATCACTTAATCTGACTTTCCTTATTTATTCTGAGAGTTCCCTATTTCATTGTTATTTAAAGTTCAAACCCCAAGGATTTCGAATGCTGAATTCCACGGTAGTTACACTATATACCTTTTCGTATTTTCAGCAATAAGCAAAATTACGAATAAAATCACCAATCACACGATCGATCTTTCTTTCTTTCTTTCTTTCTTTCTTTCTTTCTTTCTCTCTCTCTCTCTCAATATATATGTCTGTGTGTCTGTAGATATGTCTGTGTGCGTGGGCGTGCGTGTGTGTGTAAATAAATGTGTGTAAATTATATATATGTATATGTATGCGTGTAAATTATTTCCATATAAAGTGTATCTGTAAAGGAACAAAATGAATAAAAGGACAAGAGGAAAAACTATTCTTAGCCGACGCGTTTCGTCCTCTGAGGCACTTTATCAAAGCAAATGTAAAGATTCATTTTATTGCACGTGTTTATATACAAAAGCGAGGATGTCATTTGTTTATCAAGGCTTTTAAATTTGAGAACGTTCATGAATATTCATCAGCTGGTTGAAAGGTCAATCAAAACATGTGACAACGCAAAATGCCATAATTCAAAGTCTGGTAAGACAAAAGTAAGCGAGTAATATTCAATTTAATTATGATTTTTGCTGTGTCTTTAAAACCCAGTAATTTTAAAAGTTACTCCAAAATTCGCTTGAGGATGAAATGGAACTAATGTCTTTAATTTAATTACAAAATTAAATTCGGAGCTTTTAGCTTCCATTTTTGAAACATGGTTAGAACTGTGTAGCGGAAAAAGACATATATATATATATGAACATAATTATATATATATATATATATATATATATATATATATATATATATATATATATATATATATGAACAGGGTTCTATATATACCTATATATGCACGTATATATGTAATTCTGTTCTTATATATATAAATATAAGCACTTATAGTAAACGCCAAGGAAGCCAAACAATTGTCCTTCAATCAGAATTTCTTTATTCTCATGTGTCTAGCAGAAAGCGAGAAATCTTAGCTGAGCCCCGTTTTACAGTATTATTCTCTGGATCTTTCATAATATATTCTTTTATTTTTTTTAGCATTTCTCGTGCCTATTTGTGGAGTGCGTGGGAAATTATGGACTCTAGGTAGAGCCTGTTGCGAAAAGATAGGTTTTCATAATGTTTATTTTCAAAAGAGTTGGTCATATCATGTTTACAGCGACACCCATCAGCCTGACAGTCGCGATACTAACAACCTGATACTATCCGCTATCTGGCTGGCCTTCTCTTTGTCCTTAGTCGTTGCTAATGTTTATATTTACAGGCTGGCTGGAACTTTTAATCAGTCAAATAATGAATGATGTTTATCACAACTTAAATGTTTTAATTAACTATTTATTACACGAAGCTCACGTTAGTTTTTAATCCCGTGGTTGGGGCGCTGAACCAAAAAGAGAAAAAGAAGAAAAGTAAATTGAAGCCATGTAAAAGCAACACCCATTTCCTTAATCAATGAACCAAATGATTGCAAAAATCTCTTCACTCTCCAATTTATAGACAGAAAATACAGATGCATGTTGGGATTTATTTCTGACTTCCTAGTCAATGAAATACGCCACTTTTCGGTCTCATTCGACTTATGTCTGTTCTTTCTTGTTTTGAAGCTAGAACGCTGCGATCGCTTGTCTGTATCCCCACTTGTGTGTTAACACCATTCTTAGTTTGTGAATCTTTTGCCTTATTACTGTTACTTTGCTTTATTGATATCTCTTTGCCTTATTAATGTTCTTTTGCCTTATTGATGTCTCTTTGCCTTATTAATGTTACTTTGCCTTATTGATGTCTCTTTGCCTTATTAATGTTACTTTGCCTTATTGATCTCTCTTTGCCTTATTAATGTTACTTTACCTTATTGATGTCTCTTTGCCTTATTAATGTTTATTTTGCCTTGCGTATATTGTTTCCTTTGTATTATTTTTGTCTTATTTTTTTTTTTTCATTTGTTATTGTTTATTGAGAACTTTGACAATTTTTGCCAATTACATTTATTTAACCATAGCCAATTCTTCTACATATTCAGAGTGATTGGATTCTGTATCGAAAAACGACGCAATCCGAAGACTTAAGACCGAATATTTTCGGTATATTAAACGGTAGACATCAAAGTTAGAATCCCATAAGCATGTTACTTTAATTTTAGAGTTGACACAATAAATATCCAGTACCTATAAACAAAAAAATATCGAAGAGATAACGGAATGGTTTATCGGTTGCTATATAATGGTCATATAGCACTGATTTCATATTTGATCCTGCACCTAATCAGGTCATTCCATAAGAAATGTATAAAATCATAGATTGAATAATATTTTCGTTATTTACATTATTTGTACACGGACTATTTTCCGATTCTTGGTTGTTATTATTATAATATTTCGGCCGTTGTTCTCACCGACCTTCCTATTGTTGCTATCTTACTTCATCTAATAAACAATATCTGAAATATTACAAGGATGTATTGAATATTTTTGATATCCAAAAGTGCCTAAACGATACTTTGACATGATACAATGTAAGGTTCGATATTTGAAGACGATAGAATTTCTGGTTATTTCGCTTTTCTACCTTTCCGAAATATTCCCCAAAAATGCCAATTGGTCAACAATTGGTAACCAAAAATGCCAATTAGTCAACAAATGCCATTTGATCACCATATACCAATTGGTCACCAGTTGTCCACCAAATACCAGTTGGTCAACAATTAATCAACAAGTGCCAATTGATCACCAATTTGTCACCATATGCCAAGTAGTCAACAATTAGTCAAAAGTGACAATTGGTCATCATATGCCAATTGGTCAACAATTGGTCACCAAATACCAATTTGGTCAACAATTAGTCAATAAATGACAGTTGATCACCATATGCCAATTGGTCACCAGTTGTCCACCAAATACCAATTGGTCAACAATTAATCAAAAAGTGCCAATTGATCACCAATTTGTCACCATATGCCAAGTAGTCACCAATTGGTAACCAAATACCAATTGGTCAACAATTGGTCAAAAATGCCAATTGGTCACCATATGCCAATTGGTCAACAATTAGTCACCAAATATCAATTGGACAGCAGCTGGTCACCAAATGCCAACTTGTCAACAACTGGTCACCAGATGCCAATTAGATTACAGAAAAAGGATTTTGAAATCAAAATAACGATAAATTAAAATTTGCTTTTTTAACATGACGAAATAACATTTGAAATCAGACAGTGACAAATTAATTGATATTTTCGCTATTTTGAATTCGTTATAAAACTATATATTCTCTGAGGTCATTACATAATCAATGTCTGAAATCTGACAGCGGTAGAATGATTTTTTTCGCTATTATCAAATGTCTAAATATTCCCATTTGTGCGCTCCGGCCTTCTTTAGGTGTTTGAAATGTCGAAATGAACCTTTTATTTCGCTCACTGGGGTAGACTGTTCTAATTTCACGTGCTATGTTTAATGGATGTCAGTTATCAGTTATCTCCTGTTAATTCACCTCTCCAAGTTCTCCACTGCCTTAACCGGGTATTGAACTCACACACAAGGACACATGGCACAGTGGATAAAGGCGTTGGTTAGATCCAGTGACAGGACCCAAAGAGCGAAATAAAGGGTTCAGTTCGACATTCCAACCACCTGAAGAAGGCTGTAGCGTACGACGACCGAAACGTTGTAGTAAATATAGCGACAAAGATGAGGAAAATAGTCCGAATAATGTAAATAGTGTACATAATACCTCATCTCAGAAATATAGACAATTTTTTTACTAATGTTCACCCGATACAAGGCCCAAGAGCCACTCAAAGTTAGAGTTGTATTAGTGTAAGAAAGAGAAAGATTGACAGCTAATTCTAAATTTGAAAAGGTCAAGATTTAATTAGCGAATAAAATTTCAGATGTACAGATTGAAGTAGACTTTAGAAGGAACCGGAAACCGAATCCTAAACAGTAAAGAAGAGATGAACAAATACTCCTGTTCAAAAGACTGGGGAGGGGTGTGAAAAGGACGATAAGCAAATTTATCTTCTCCGCCATCAAGTCATTCCAGAAATCACGTTGGAAATCAGTTAAAGCTTTTCTCTCTTCTAAATTACCTAATGACTTGGAAGTTTTGTTTTTCCTTGGGTTACCTCTGTTACGCTCTGTTTACAGTATAACATTGATAGTCCGCTTGGATCTTCAAAGACTCAGGGAATAGCCAGTTTTAGCCTTTTTTTTTAAAGATTTCCATGGCAGACTCCAGTTTTTATATCAGTCACTTATAATAAAGTTCACATCGGAATTATGAGAAATCTTCCTAGTGAAATCCTGTTCCTATTCTATCACTCTACACTGAAAACTTTCTTCTTCTATTTTTCATGTCTCCTCAGGATGTGAACGATCACGGTTCTCCACATTTTCCTGTTCTTTGAAGCTCTAACCAACAGTTGTCACTATACCATCCATTTACATGAACTTTTAAGTAGTTAATTCGTTGTTTTCTCTATTTCCCTTGCCTTTAATATAACTTGTGAGTGTTACATTTTCCATGCCTTCCTTCTTCATTATTTAACCCAGAAATTTAAACTGTCTTTTTATGACTCTAATCAAAAATGTCATTTTCATTCTCATTTTCTATAAAACTGTTTTGTTTATTATTATTGTTTGGAGGGGGGTGACATCCCAGTTAATGACGTCATAGTCGAGGCAAATCCCAGAATTTGGGTTATTAAGTCTAATTGCCAGTAGATGCTGGCACCTCACTCTTAATCAATTTGTCATTCGACACAATTTGT